TTTTATGATTGTATGAGTAGGCGCCTCTACTAAAGTCCATAACAAACATGGTTGTCAGGAGTCCAGTGGTGAGATCATGCCTTAATGAGCGAGTCTGCAAATCACAATGGGCAGGTTAACATGGAGTTTGGATTTAGTCCAGCTACTTTCTGTTACTGAATAACATTATCTGGTCTGAATAGAAACGAACAGATGACACACTTTATATAGGCTTTATTGTCTTCAGAAAATGGAGTAAGTGCCGTTTGATAGATATACCTGTAATTTCGATGTCATTCAAAACGCATTTTATTACGCATGTACACATAAAGGACATGATGCACTTGTAAAATGATTCTAGCTGGGTTCGAAAACAAGTTTTTTGCTTTGATTGACAAGCTCTTTGAACTTTGTTTGGAGCAAACTTGTTTTCCTAAGATACTAGCTACGGAGACGTAGATATATTTAAATATATTTAGAATGTCACGTCAAAACTGTATTGATCCGATCAGGAATATTGTTGACTGTTTTGTTAAGACCATATGTTATTGTTGCGAATGTAATTAGAGAATAGTAATTAGAAATGAACCGAAACTTACACATGATCAATCATTAAACGAGTAAGAGTAAGACCCCTAATACGTCAACCCAGGTCGCTTCATATACACACCTGTTAATTAAATTATGGGACTAACTAACCTATATATTACCTTCTATGGACTTGTTAACATCCAAATACATTTATTCCACTTAAAGTGATGTAACTGAAGATGCAACAGTAAACATTTTGAGGGAAAGTATATTTGGTCTAGAAAATGTTGCGTGAAACATATATTTTTTTCAAATAGTGCTTTGCACTAAATGGGTTCATTGAAAACATAATGCACTTTGTTTACGTCCATTACATCACTTCCTCCTCCAATCTCTCACCATTTGTGTCATACTCCTACTTCTTATGACGTCAACTTTCAATCGCGTCATCACGTGCACCATCGTCCATTATGTTCTGCTAGCAATTTCTCCACCAGGTTTATACTGTCATTCTCTACTTTCGGCTTTCATTTTCTATCCTTCACTTTTCGACAGGAACGTTTCGGCTTCTCTTCACAAATCATTACTGTTCGTCTTCTAAAGCTGAACGATGCTGAGGATGATGAAGGTTCCCCTAGACTGACAACTGACAGCACAGGTAAGGTAGTGTTGACGCAAGTACAGCCGCACAGCTTGCCAGGCAAGTCACTTGGTAATGGTGCATGGGGAACATTCTTCGTACTGTGTTTCGGTTAGAAGTTATGTTTCTGCACTTGTATCGTTACTATTGTACGACAGAGACACTCAGGTTATTTCCTCCATGAAAATACCGATCATTAGATGAATATGTACATGCTACAATCACAATAACGGGGAAGCAGTATCATTGTTGGGGCGTGCATTACACGTGCTAAAAATTACAAAGTGTGTGTGGGTGGTAGGGTGGGTGGGTTTTGGGGTAGGGTCATGTTTTCCACGATTCTAACTGACTGACGTGGAATCAAAATGTAATGGGTTATTTCGATAACTGCATAAAAGACTTGCGATCCGGTATTACTTTCTCAAAAAGGATTCTCCGTAACCTCGCGTCAGTACTTCAACGTGTGACATTTGAAACACTGTCAACATATCTATAGCGTCAGGAACTCCCATGCACCGGGCAGCCAAAAGGTTACAAGGGCCTCTGGGGTGACCTATCAATAAATTAATTAAACAAATTTCTCAAGAGTGTAAGAGCTGATCACACGAAATAGAAATAGCAGTATATGATTTATTAGCAGGCTATAATTCCTCCAAACGGTCGTTGCTTGGCTTAAACTAAGTCAGCTCGACCGATCGTTCGTTCGTTCGTGTAATTCAGGAAAAAAAGTAAAAGCGCTATCTATAATATACATTTACAGGAACAGAAAGGATTCTTTGAAATACCAGCTGCCATGACTTGTAGAGGCTTATGATAAAGACGAAATCGTTATATTTTCGTTCTCCACACATTACCTGCGGATTAATCTGTCCGCCAATTTTGCTGCCTAACATTCGGTTTACGGACTTTATTACATGATATCCTTTTCCAAAAAATTATCTTTTGATATTTTAATTAACACCTCTTAGTACAGGCGCCACACCTCTACTGTTTACTGCAGATAGAGTTACTGTGTCCACAAACGCACATGTACTTGAAAACCCTCACCCTCTCACCCTCTCACCCTCTCTAGCCCCAGCCAACATTCGACGGGCTTCGTCAAGTAGGGATCAAGTCTCCCTGATGCTACAGGGTATGGCACACATTTCCACTTTTTAAGTAATTGTGATAATATATATTGGACACCCTGATTGATTTTAAGTCTCAGTCTCCATTTCATGATCTTTGTCGCGTGAATCGTGAACGTACAAACTACGGCCGACCGTTGATGGTTAGCATTGCAAGCTCCTCTCAGCATATCTCTACTGGTACTAACGTCAAGAAAAAGTAGTACGCGTTGCATTCGGAAAGACGATTAACTTCGTTGTGTTAAGGATTGGTTTTTTTCATTTCTGTCTTCATTTGTCACAGTCACATATTGAATGAAGTCGAGTAGCCAAGCGGAGCAATTTTGTGCTTAATCTGTGAATGTTATCTTCAAACATGAAATATGTTCCTCGGCACCATACCCGTGTTTATGGGTTACATCGCTAACAGCACTTCGGGCTTTCCTCCCACAGTATGCTGATCTTGACACTCAGTGGTATAACATAAATACTTTACAAAGCGGCGTTAAATCCAACTCACTCACTCACTCGTGTCACCATACCATTAAGGGATATCACAATGGGAGAGGCAATATCACAGCACCACATATAACCCGATATACTGAACCGCAAAAGAAACATCACCATATCAAAAAGATGAAGCTTGGCAAAACTGATCATCAAGGTTGAAATTAAAGTGTCAAATGTTCTTTAAGCGAAACACAACACCAGTCTCTGAGAAAATAGCATCCCAAGTCAGTATCTCGTGTGTCCGCCACGTGCATTGATGACTGCCGAGCAACGTCGATACATGGCATGGATGAGGCGGTTGATGAAGGTCATAGGCACTTGAGCCCACACTCCGAGGAACGCCTCACGCAGTTCAGCTGCAGTTGTCGGCCTTGGTCGGACGTCATTCAGCCATCTGTAAATCTCGTCCCACAGGTGCTCAATGGGATTTAAATCGGGACTGAGGTCAGGCCACTTCATGGCTCTGATGCCATTCTCCTGGATGAAGTCTCTTGTTGCCCTCGCAGTGTGGGCACGGGCGTTATCATGCTGAAACTCGTGGTTGCGGCAACCTGTCAAATAAGGTATGGCGTGTGGCCTCAAGACTAGGTACCGAGCTGCTCAGACACCATTGCCTCTCCCTGGACCGATGTTCTCGAAGACCACAGGGCCGACCCTCTGTGCAAGACCAATTCCACCCCACACCATGATGCTCGGACCACCCCCATCTCCTGTTGAGATACAGTCATGGCTCTCGTCTGAGAAGAAGATTCTTCTCCACTGCTGGTGGCGCAAATGCTGGTGCTGTGTTGCCCACTGAAGACGGCCCCGGCGATGACGTGGTGTCAGAATGGGTTCTCGGTGTGGCCTGTGACAGTGGAGGTATCTGCTCGTCAATCGTCCACGCACGGTGTCCTCACTAATGTGTCGCTGGTGTGTCCCCATGGTCTGTCGATCACTTTCCGCAGCAGTAACAAAGCGATCTTGAAGATGCTGTCACACAATCTGAGGATCCTGTACACCTGTAGTGTAGGTTGTCTGGTGTCGTTGCGGGAACCTGTATATGGTCCTTACATGGACCTGAAAGGCATTGGCTACTTGCCCGGCGGTTTGTCCAGCTTGCAATCGTCCTAGGGCTTGGTGTCGCTGTTTTGTTGTCAATCTTGGCATGTGGTAACAATTCAATAACGAATGAATGTTATCCGATCTTGGTGGATTTTTATAGAGCAAGAAATGGGGGAACGCAAGTGCATTTCAATTCACGTATATCGGATTACCATGGGCCTTCCCGTGATGCGTTTAAGCGATCGGTTTTATTGGCATCTGCTTTGTTTTTTATCATCAAATTTCATTTTTCCGGACAAGGTAATGTTATCTTTTAGAAATATTTGACAAAAATTACCCAAATATCTAAATCACAACTTTTCATGCAATGTTACTTGGGGTTACGTTTCCTTTGCGGTTCAGTATATAATACATTTTGTTATTTTTGGATACAGGCTAACATGATACAACCTTGCACACCTTGCATGGTCCATTGACGCATTGCATTCACACGAACAAAGTTTATCAGGACTATATATGCATATATAGAGAAAATAACGTTAACGTGACGAAATACCTAAACGTGACGTGCAGTTTATCTAATGCATAGCAGCATCGCCTAAAACAATTTATTGAAACGAACTTTGATCCAGAATATGTTCCATACAATCAGTAAATGCTCACTGTTGTTAGGGCATCACATTTATAATGATGTGGTCTTTCCTCTCAATCTGATGACATTTGTTTTTGAGTTGGTGTGTCAGAGCGGAGGAATGTGTGTTAATGTTTGTTGTGCAGCCGATGTTCACTTTATCTTGTCTCTCAAACTTTACACCCCTGCCAACCCTCTGTTGTTATGTATTGACAAGTGAATTTGAATCAATAAAATTTGCAAAGGTTTTCCTCTTATTTGTGTTCATATTCACCTATAAATAGATTCGAGGTGTTACCGTTGTGTTATATTCTATGCCTATGTAAATAGACCGTATGCACTTGTCGAAATGAGTGTTTTGGGTTTTGTTTACCATGTATAAGAAATATGATGACATGATAGTAATAATTGTAAAGGTCCCTTCGTTCTATATTGACAATGGAAGCTCCAAATAAATGGATGTGCGCAGTTCTATTGACGTCAATTGAAAACCAACCAGCTTCCCTTTCAGCCTTGTCCACAAATCATTTAAGTGTTAAAACTTCCTGGTTCACAAACATGGCGGGTGTGAGGTGGTTGATACTTACTGTGGCTGTGTCAGGGTGGTGGATTCAACTCATGCCGGGTAGGTTATAGTCACGCTACGATATTTGTACTTGTGGGTAACTAAAATGACACTAATTTAATCCTAGGAAAATACGTTTATGACAGATATACATGTATAAATAACACTGATAGCGATTTGTACAGTAAGGCTAAACATGTATGAAAGGTAAGTGCAGGTTTGCCTCAGCTGATACATGTACGTATACAAGGATCACCCGCAGACAAACGTGTCACTATATTCCCATGCCCAGTGGGACAAATTACAATACTCAAATATATAATACTCACACTACGACATTTTTCCTTATGGATAATAAACATAACCAAATTTGACTTATCTTTGACAAATATGTACAGTAAGGTTTTACAAACTTGTATGAAAGGTAAGCAGGGTTTGCCTTACTGACACATGTACGTGTATTGTCGGTGAACACCTCGGCAAACGTGTCACCACATTGCCAGGTACAGTAAGACGAATTGATGTTTGTATCTGGAAATGATGCTACAAAAAGACATATACTTGTTGACAACTCATTGACCTGAATGTAAACTATTTAACTTTTTTTTGGTTAATGGATAAATATTTTGATATCAAATAATCTGTGTGTGTCGCCGTCAAATTGTTTTGGTAATGTATGTCAGGTAAAATATTGTCATCAAATCAACTCAACGTGGACAATGAGAGGGACAGACAACCAGAAAAAATAGTTATCGATATCCCCAACCCATTTAGATATTATGGTTGTTTGTAAATTAACCAGGAAAGCCTAGTGGTTAAAGCGTTCGCTCGTCACGCCGGGGACCCGGATTCGATTTCCGACATCGGTACAATGTGTGAAGCCCATTGCTGGTATATTGCTAAAAGCGGCGAAAAACCATACTCACTCACTCACTAGGGTACGTTGAATCACAAGCAGCCAAGTCACCAAGTAAACCTATATCCAACTTGTTTCCTTGGAAACTTTCTTTTTTATTGAAACCAATGGAATGGTAAATGCATTGATATAATTGACTACTATTACGTTTACTGTTTACATAAACAGTTCAGAGATCACTGCGAAGAAGGGCCACGGTGTAATTTTTTTTGTCTAAGTATCTCCTAAATAGGACTTAGTATCTCCCACGTAGAACTTGCTATCTCCTACGCAGGAGATAGTAAGTCCTACGTAGGAGATACTAAGTCCTACGTAGGAGATACTAAGTCCTACGTAGGAGACAGTAAGTCCTACGTAGGAGATACTAAGTCCTACGTAGGAGATAGGAAGTCCTACGTAGGAGATACTAAGTCCTACGTAGGAGAAAGTAGATACTAAGTATCTCCTACGAAGGACTTACTACCTCCTACGTAGGAGATACTAAGTCCTACGTAGGAGATACCAAGTCCTACGTAGGAGATAGTATGTCCTACATAGGAGATACTAAGTCCTATGTAGGAGATAGTTATTCTGGTCCATACGAAGTCCTACGTAGGAGATACTAAGTCCTACGAAGGAGATAGTATGTCCTACATAGGAGATACTAAGTCCTACATAGGAGATAGTTATTCTGGTCGATACTAAGTCCTTCGTAGGAGATACTAAGTCCTACGTAGGAGATAGTATGTCCTACGTAGGAGATACTAAGTCCTACGTAAGAGATATAAAGTCCTACATAGGAGAAAGTAATTCTGGGCCATACTAAGTCCTACGTAGGAGATACTAAGTCCTACGTAGGAGATAGTAGATACTAGTATCTAGTATCTCCTACGTAGGACTTAGAATCTCCTACGTAGGAGATAGTAGATACTAGTATCTAGTATCTCCTACGTAGGACTTAGAATCTCCTACGTAGGAGGTAGTAAGTCCTACGTAGGAGATTCTTAGTCCTACGTAGGAGATACTAAGTCCTACGTAGGAAATAGTAGATACTAAGTATCTCCTACGTAGGAGATACTTAGTCCTACGTAGGAGATACTAAGTCCTACGTAGGAGATAGTATGTCCTACATAGGAGATAGTAATTCTAGGCCATACTAAGTCCTACATAGGAGATAGTAAGTCCTACGTAGGAGATAGTAATTCCTACGTAGGAGATACTAAGTCCTACGTAGGAGATACTAAGTCCTACGTAGGAAATAGTAGATACTAAGTATCTCCTACGTAGGAGATACTAAGTCCTACGTAGGAGATAGTATGTCCTACATAGGAGATAGTAATTCTAGGCCATACTGTCCTATATAGGAGATAGTAAGTCCTACGTAGGAGATAGTAATTCCTACGTAGGAGATACTAAGTCCTACGTAGGAGATACTAAGTCCTACGTTGGAGATACTAAGTCCTACGTAGGAGATAGTAAGTCTTACGTAGGAGATAGTAAGTCCTACGTAGGAGATACTAAGTCCTATGAAGGAGATAGTTGGTAGAACACCAAGAATCTTCACTCCGTCAGAAGGAGTGATGCTGGAATCTCCTACACTAAGTGGCATACTATTCCTGAGCTGATGCCTTGTTCAATTACACAGTTTTGTCGTTGTTGACTTTCAGGACGTTGTTATCCATTCATATGTGAATGTCGAGAATACATTATTCCATTTTGCTTTGATAGTTGGATATATCTGATATTTTAACACTGGTGTAGAGATAGCTGTCATCAGCATATCCAAGGAGCTGTAGTCCGTGTGTTCTGATAATGTCTCCATATTGAAAATAATACAGGTACAAATACTGAGGTACATTATATTCTACTGTGTGTTGTTTTGATCTTGAGCCAGTTCCTTGAATCCTTGAACAATCATAACTCGGTCTGTACAATAAAGACAGACAAACAAATGTATTTAGTAATTAAGGCGATCAGCCCACAATACAATAATATGAATATAATAATACCCCACATACAAGAGTATTTATTTTAAATAGTGTTTTCTCATTCCTCATTGTAAACCTTTTATCTAACTATATATACCAATGTTAATTATAGAAAGTTGGATACATTTCTCAGTTGTTGGATAATCTGTATAATATTGATGTATATATTGCTTTCTTAGATGAGAGTAGCTTTCACAGGCCATCTGCACATGGTTTTCATCTTCTACAAACTTGTTATTGTTCTTCAGACTTCGCAATACCTTTCATCATCTGGAATATTATTCTCTCTTCCAATTTCAACATGTAATCCAAAATTATTACATCTAAATTATGATAAATGCCACTTAATATATTCAGGAATGTTATTGCTAGATATGATTCAGTACTGAGTAGTGATTTATATTTATGGTATCATTACTATTTGATAGTGATTCATAAACACATACTCATGGTATAGTCGGAATGGTACAATCGAGATTTATATTGGCTGTGGAAGGGGGTTTGTTGCTTTGTATATATTCAAAATATGTCAGTCATCGAGTTGCTCAATCAAGTTCAACTTGAAGAACTGTTTTACAAACAAAATGCCCTGAACGTTTTAAAACATACAAATACACGCATGCGCACACGCACGCACGCGCATCCATATAGTTTGTTTTAAAACTACTTGTTTTATATTATTCTGTTTCCTGAAGATGAAGTGTAACTTACCTCACAAGGACAACAACGTTATAAATTGAGCAGATGGAAGAATGTCTGATACTTATTAGTTTGAAAGAGGTATCCCTTTTCATATTGAATGGTTGCTGATAACCCACTAGAATTTTGTATACGTTTGATATCAGAAAAACAACTGTTTCAGAAAACACACAATTTAGCAAAATACACACTAACCACTGTATTAGTATCACATAATAGTTGGTAACAAAACTGCCGTGTCTCTTGTCACCGTGTGCACCAGTAGGCAAATTTCTGCCAGTAAATCGTCAGTTTAATGTTGAATATAAGTTCAGATGAATTTCGTTGTGGGTCCTTGTCATGTATAATTATAAAGAACACGGTAACTGTGAACAACTACTTTGGCAGACATGGGCAGCAAAGTCGTAGGACAGCCAGGTCAAAGTTCGGGATAGAGATAGTCATTCAATAGTCAACTGCTACATAAGTACAACTTTAAAATACCCTAAATCCTGCTACTAAGTAAAGTTTAAGAAATACATTTGTTCAGAATATATTTCAATATTTCTACCACCTGTCACCCCCACAATGGGATATGTCATTTCCAAGTGATGACTTGGTTGAGTCCAAGCCGTTGAAATGTGCAACAGATTGCAATAAAATTAAATCTCTATGGAGATATTATCGTTTTTATCAAGTAAATGATCTTCCTGTGAGCCCTTTTCGGAACTTTCCAAGATGACAGACCATGTGTTTGTTTAACTGGTGTTTAACGCCGCACTCAGCAATAGTCCAGCTATATAAAGGTGATCTGTAAATAATCGAATCTAGAACAGGCAATCCAGTAATTGACATACGAATCGATCCACTTAACTGGGACACGATAGCATGCATTAACCAAGTCATCGGGCCTGATCACCCGATCCCGTTTTTCGCCTTAGTTAGACAAACATAGTCACCTTTTATATCAAGCATGGGTTGCTGAAGACCTATTCTAACCCGGATCTTCATGGGTTTCTCTGACCTATGTACCCGTGTGTGATTAAGTGTTCCAATAGACTACCGTTTTGAATTCGTTCTTGTGGTGACACTATAAGCTAGAGCGGAGATAAACCTACTGAGTTTTGAAATTAAATGTAGTCCCACTGCAGATTAGATACCTCTTATTTATATATTTGAAACTTCGTGGTAAGCTCCTTGTTCCAAATCATAATATCTTCTCTGTAGTGTGACTACATCAAATTCCAAAACACAGTAGGTTTATTTCCTAATTAAAAGATAATAATAAAAGATTGTAATACTTTCAACATATAACTGATAGATAATCGATATAATCGATATTTGTTGTTGAGCCTGTTGTACAGTTCTATTGTTTTGCCACTAAGGTCAACAACTATACTACTTTTTTAACAATGAAAAGGCAAATCAAAGAAATGGAATTGTGATTGTAATCTCATTTCGTTCCATAATAAAGTAAAACTTATAAAACAACGTTGTGGGAGAATAATTAAAATGGCTGTGGAATACATTAGTTGAGAAAATAGCACATATGTTATGAAATCTTCCCTGAGAAGATGGCAAATGGCAGATTCAGATTTACATGCAAGAGCTTTCAACTGATCATTAATATCAAGTTGGCATTTTCGCTATCAAAATGCGCTCTATAAACTACCAGCCAACAACACCTTACTGCACAGATTGCTCCCCCGCTGAAGTCGATAAAATTGAGGTAAAAGTAACGCAAACGAAGTGTCTTGCTCATATTCCGGCTGCTCGTAAACAGATACGGACAGTCTGACAGTGTGCAGGATTGTTTTTGTTGCAGTGTAGTTAGCAATGAGTGTCCTGTTGCGAAGGTGTGTGGCCTGCCTGTAGCTATCATGGGCTGATGTGGTGATGTCCGGGTCTCTCTGATTTTTGGACCTCAATGTGGTGACATGTTGCCGATGTTGTGTCCACAGTGTACTTGTAATCTGCTTTTAAGTTTCTGAAGAAAATTAATTATGCAAATGCTCAACATTGCAATAATCACTCTATTTAAATCAATAAAAACGTCGTGTGACACCTTATGGGTAAATAGAATAATGGTATTTATATTTCGTAGCAGTGCAACATAGAATGTCTTCCATTCACACAATTTAAGTTTGAGAACTTACGTGCTTCTTTTTTGTGAGAGTATAGAAATGAAATCTATAACTTCTAAGTATGTCCCTGTTGTATATATTGTATCTGTCAGGTAGCAAACATGTCCCTGGCCCCTGGTATGGTGACCTGACTTTAGTTGTTGGTGTTCCATAGCCTTTTTTACATTGCGTCTGACGATTAAGTGAGAGCGACAGCTTGAAATCTCTCTGCTGTATTATCCACTGCTGCAGTGTACAGGATCAACTAAGTATTGCGAGAAATGCTGATCATAGATTTTCAGAATATTTGACAGAGATGATAAGAGGATGAAAACCTTTCGTTCACACGAAGAAGGCAGGGTTGCGTTTTGAACTATGATAAACTTATTGATGGGTCGAGGATGACATTGTGTCTTCTGTTCACAATGGTATCCATTTCATTTGACTGAAGCGTGATTTCAAAACAATGACATTATAAATACGTCATATCATGCATGTTGATTGCTATGTTTAAATACATCATAAAATGCATATGATTGCTATGTGTGTGTGACCCAAAGAGATTATCTTTGTCTTGACATGTATCAGGGGATATTGAGCTGTGTATAACAAGATATGTTTCAGCTTTCAATTACAGGGTATAGAGAAATGGGAAACTTGGTTTTTTTTGTACACGTACATATTCACGTAAGAAGAACGAACGTGATAAGATAACGCAAGGTGGAAACTTAACCAGGGAAGCCAACAGCTAATTGGCGCTGATAGGTGATTTGCAATAGACAATGGAACCCAACATTTTACAGTAATTAGCGCTGATAGTTATGAACAACTGGAAGCTATGACTTAAATCATCACTGATTGGTAATTGCCAATTGGACTGTCGAAATATAGGTGGAATTGTTAAACAATGTGAGAATGGTATTATCATAATGAAATTGTAGTAGTTGTATCAGAATAAAAGTACCCAGGACAATTGATGACCACATCTTTAAATCTAACCAGGGCAGTGTCACAATTGGCGTTAAATGGAAAAGGTCTCAATTAAATGTTTTAAAATTGCTTTAGACAAATTAAAAAAAACAACACTTATAATATATTTGAAAATATTTCATTACAAAACTAGCCCTAGCCTTCTTTATGAATGCGTAATATTTGTGCATCACAGATTAAAGGTAAAATTGCCAGTGCTGACATGAACCTAAGACTCGGTCCCTACTTTGACTAAAGTATTGTGTACTTTTATCTCGAAGCTGGCTTTTAACACATGAAGTGTTTTGCAAATGAGCAACAAAGCTGTGAGCAATTCTCGTAGATACAGGCTGTGGAATCCGGAATGAAGACAGAAACAGAGATCCCTTGCAACCTTTTCTAACTAAGTTTCATCCACAGAATCCATGGGCAAGTGCAAACAGACATCTGTCCCTGACGTTTTTCGTTATTGCAACTCATACAGCTGCTGTCAATCATACGTGTAATGCATGTACATTTGTCACAATTGTCATTGATTATTTGTAGCGAAATACATTTAAATTAGTCATTGAATACACGTCTTGTGTTCTTAATTAATGGTGTATGCAATCGTATTGCCATGGATCTACAATACTTGATATGCCTTGCTAGTGGCCCATGCCTCTATGTCTGGAAGTTCATCCTTTAAAGACACTCGAAAGCAATACATAACAAATAGATATGTAATTCCACCATCAGTCCAACAATTTTTTGGGCTTATAACAACCACAAATGAGGAAGATTAAATATTTGTTAGGCATCTGGTTATATCTCAAGTATGCCTTCAAGAGCAGAACAGTACTTAAATGCAACGTGAACCTATTTGTCATATGATCCTGCACTGTCACATATGCATTTCTTTAGTCTGAATTTGAATCAAACAAATATTTGAATATTAACCTGACCTAAGCTTGTTGTATATTATACAGGTACCACTTGCCAAGGAGGAAGATTTGGAGACACATGTAGCTACTCTTGTCACTGTACTCCACACTGTAACCAGACAACTGGAGTCTGCAACGGTGCATGTGATCCTGGATGGTTTGGTGGGAATGGGCAAACCTGTCAGAGAGGTGAGTTTACTTGCCACAATGATCAGTTTTGATTTGGTCAGTGATCAGCGTGTCTATTTTAAAGAATACCATGTGGATGCTGAAAGAGTTGAAACCATAATAAAGTTTTTAATATGTGTGCGTGCGTGCGTGCATTCGACATGAATGACGTCTGTTGCATCTATGACACCTGAGCGCTTGACACCTTTGTTATCCTCCCGTTATAGAGAGCTCAGATGAAAGAGCTTGTATACAAACGATGATGTACTTCTGGGACATATACCCCCTCACTGGCGAATTGGTAACAGTTTCTGGAAGGGTTTCTATACCTATATAAGAACGAGACAAGGGCGATACCTGACCTTTTACGACCTGACTTGTGTCTTGTGTATATACTTACTAGTATTCAGTGTAGACGGGATACCGATCTAAAAACATTGACTACCGGCCACAGCTCTCAACACAATTCCAGATCCATTTTTATATTCAACACATGCGACAGTGACTTTATATTCTGGATATTCGTGAGTGCATTAACTTAGTATAGGCCCTGTTTTATATATTGCTGCTGCCACATATTTGATCCATCGTCTTGCCTCCTGCGATTGTAAACTTAATCCTGCGTGTTTCAATATATTTTGTTAAGTATTCATTCATCTTGTGCGGTTATTTAATTGATTTCACAATTTAGTTCTGTGTGAACTGCTTTCAGGGTTAACCTCCGTGACTCAGCTTGGGAGCTTCTTCTTAACAATATGCAGTAAAACGTCGAAACCGTTTCAAAGCCTTGAATAACAGTTTTTCACATTTAATAAGATTACAGCACACTCTCCTAATCTGTAGTTTGTATATTAAATCATTCAGAGTTTATCACTAGTTATATCTATTTGAACACATTGTTTCTTGGGTGATCACACAGTTGGATGCTTAAATGGTTTGAAATTGGTTTCATTGATTCTTTAACAGAGAGAAATTTAGCGTGAGACAGTATTCCTTTGGAATTCATCTTTCAAACACTCTCATTTTACGCATGACAGTAACTCTAAACTTTTGGGGGAAGATATCACTGACCTATTGGATTCACCAATTTCAAAGTCCTAGGATGTTTAAATAGTTATTTTCCCCTCATAATAAATTACAATGTGAAAGTTAATTTATATTCGTATTTATTTTGGTATAAGGGAACGTTGCGTACAACAAGAAAGCAGCTTCGACCCCACCAACTAACTACGCAAAACTGCATGGCTGGACTGCAGACAAGGCTGTAGATGGGAACCGGGACCAGCATGTGTTCGGCAACTCCTGTTTTCACTCTCATTCTACGGCACCTAATCCTACGTGGACAGTGGACCTGGGACAGCGGTACAGGATACATGACGTCAGAATATACAACCGAGTAAATAGTATGTATCAGTTCAGACAGCGTTATTTTATTTTGCAGGATATTACAAAACATTTTAGTACACACCGATCAGGAACAACTTGTTTCTGGCACATTTGAACTGAATGTGGTCACATGGTCTTATTTGACGTTCACACGTTCCAACGACAAGGTGATAGGTGAACTGAATCATATCAAGTGCCATGTGATATGCAATTTGTCATTTTCAAGAGCACATAGTCACCCTGCGTCAGTAAATCATTTATGAATTTACATGTTTCAGATATTAAGTTGATCAGGGCTGCTGTTCTCTCCCTGAGTAACTCCAGCAGCGATATGCTAGTTGTCAATGTTCAAGAGCCCAATGTCACCCTCCGTTAGTAAATCATTTCTTCCATTGCCTGTTTTAGATCCTCATTTGATCAGGACTGCTGTCCTCTCTCTGAGTAACTCCAGCAGCTCCACACCCGGCGTCACCTGCTACACCTTCCCCTCTGACACAGCTAAAACAGACAACAGCGTGTACGACGTGACATGTGACGGCACAGGGAGATACTTCACAATCACACATAGCACACGGCTAAATCTATGTGAGGTGGAAATTTATGGTATGGATAATTGTTCATAGGAGTCAATTGCATATATATTATATAGTCGTATATTCAATGACTATGACGTATTTCATATTAGTTGCACAGTCTTAATAAGAGCAGGTGAAGTGAAAACAGTGATTTTGATTTTGCTTAGAACATCAGTTTTCGTCATTCAATGAAAGTAACCGAGGTGGAAGCTGGCAGTCTGGCCACAGGCTTGATAATTGAATTTATCATCCCAAACTGACACCCACGGAAGATGTCGCTTGGGTGAGATCAAGCCATTTCTACATTATAGATATCATTGCAACGAAATTGCATCACAATGCTTTGCATCGCTAATGGCTCTGCTACTAAAGCTGTCAGCGGTGCTTTTTACATTTAAGACGCTGCTTATTATTGTCTTCAAACTGAACAAGTTGGAAGCTTGATGTTGGATGATAAGATAAAATGTCTTTTGATATCGTATATATCAACACTCGTTGATGAAAGCAGGAAAACGTGATATATTTGATATCAAAGGACACTCGGTGAGATTCTCTATCTCCCCAGCGCGTCACCCATTCCATTTTTATACAAAGTAAGACTATATTTGATAATGTTAGACAAGTTTACAATGACAAGGTAAAGCTACAGTGTGTTATTATATTCTAACAACAGAACATAGTTATGGATAACAAAGGTGTAACTGTTTGAATGATCAATGTGACCAATAAAGACATGGAAGGCTGGAACACGTGCATCCGTATTACTGGCCCTTAGAGGAGGCTGAGAAGTTGAGAAGAATGATATGTCATTGCAGTGAAGATAACACTTAATATTTCACTGCAGTGAAGTGTCTGGCCCGCACACAAACTGTTGACTTCCTTTTAACGTTAGTTCCATATTGACAAGGCAATATAATGATTACTATTTATGTAGTTAGGGTTGCTTCATGCTGTTTGTTATTCTCTTGAAAATATTTCGTTATAAACTGTAAATGTCTCTTTTAAACTTGTCAATCGAATGTTACTATACTCTTTGTAATATGTAAATGTCATAGTTACTTCTCCACAGTGTGCTAAATTGGAAGCTATGGACAGAACTGCAACAACTCGTGTACTGTCAGGAAGTGTGCTGGAGACTCGCCATGTGATCACATAAGAGGGACATGTGTTTCCGAATGTGCGCCGGGCTGGAGGGGTGGAGATTGTTTGGAAGGTGACCATCTGAATGAACATTTTAACGTTTTGCTGATAATCGCTCAACTGGGTTATAAGCCTTAAAACAATGTGATCGTTTAAGTGACACTTTGAAAAAGAATTAATACTATAGAAACAGCACTCATTAAATTGCATGCTTTAAAAAAGGAACCTATTATAACCTGCTTAAAACAATGTTTTTCTCGAGCCGATTAAAAACATTTATAACTATTTATATTTTGTGTGGTAACCAACCATACTAAGCAAACATTAGGTTTGGTTTTGTATCAGCAATATTTCACCAATATGACGTTGCCTGTAGATAATTTAGTCTGGACTAGACAAACCAGTAATTAATATTAGGACGCAATGTCCCACGATGACACGCATAAGCATAAGACGACATTATAAAATTCCGAATTTATCGACTAAATCCAAGTCATCAAGTGTAACTACCCAATCACAGTCGCCTGTTATGGCAAGAAAAGGTTACAGCACTATGTCTTAAGGACAATGATATAAAGTAAATTGCCCACATGTCACGGCAGGAAATCCTATTGGAAATGTCCTTTTTGTTTAATCATGTGACTTAAAATTCATATTACTAAGATTTTAAATTTGTTAATAAGCATAACAATAATTAGCAATGAATTTGTAACATGTCCGTGACTGTTATGAGTGACGTTGTATATTTGCGTGGTTCACAAGGGGTCAAGTTTGGGTGGACGGCGTCATGCTTGATTGAGTTAAGCAAGCTGCCTGACGGGGAGAAGCGTGCTTGTGGGATGATTGGAGTTTGAGTTGGCTTGGTAACTGATTGGTGTGGGCCGATCAACCTTTTGTTGTGTGCTGAAGTAGACAGCTTACTTGGAAATTTGTTTACTATATGAGAGCAAGTTATCGAACAGAAAGGGGGAAGGAAAAAGAATTGGAGAGGGAGAAATATGGTTTAACTGAACGAGGGCAGTTCAGCCCAGCGTTATGTCCGGAGACAAAGTTAGAAGGTCATGTCGACGCTTCGAAGGAGGAAACTGTTGTTACCCAGTTATCCTGTGAACTGTGATACATGTATATAAGTTTGGACCAATGTGAAATGGAATTCATTGGGAATGTGTGATGTCAAGAAACCTGAGGTGACTATTATCGATATTGCACATTTGCCATATTGCTTTGCCTAAATAGAGGTGAATGAGTGCCTTGCCCAGTAACTGAGAATTGTTATATACTTATCTTTGTTTTAATTATTAAATCAAGCTTAAAACTTCAGAGATTGTTATGTGATTCTTGTAATTGTTATTTGTGGTATTAGCGGGAACCTTTGCCGTTCATACCATACGTAACTGTGACATTGTGTCTTCTCCACAGTGTGCTCAAATGACAGCTATGGACAGAACTGCAGCAACTCGTGTACTGACAGGAAGTGTGCAGGAGACTCGCCATGTGATCACATAAGAGGGACATGTGTTTCCGGATGTGCGCCAGGGTGGAGGGGTGAAGATTGTTTTAGAGGTGACCATCTGAATGAACATTTTAACGTTTTGCCGATGATCTCTCAATTGGGTTATATGCCTTAAAAGCATGTGATCGTTTAAGTGACACTGTGAATAAGAAGTAATACTATAGAAACAGCACAAATTAAATTGCATGCTTCAAAATAGGAACCTATTATAACCTGCTTAAAACAATGTTTATCTCGAGCCGATTAAAAACATTTATAACCAATCATATTTTGTGTTGTAACCAACCATATGAAGCAAACATTAGGGTTTGTTTTGCATCAGCAATATTTCACCAATATGACGTTGCCTGTAGATAATTTAGTCTGGACTAGACAAACCAGTAATTGATATTAGGACGCAATGTCCCACGATGACACGCATAAGCATAAGACGACATTATAAAATTCCGAATTTATCGACTAAATCCAAGTCATCAAGTGTAACTACCCAATCACAGTCGCCTGTTATGGCAAGAAAAGGTTACAGCACTATGTCTTAAGGACAATGATATAAAGTAAATTGCCCACATGTCACGGCAGGAAATCCTATTGGAAATATCCTTTTTGTTTAATCATGTGACTTATAATTCATATTACTAAGATTTTAAATTTGTTAATAAGCATAACAATAATTAGCAATGAATTTGTAACATGTTCGTGACATTGTGACTACTCCACAGTGTGCCCAAATGGAAGCTATGGACAGAACTGCAGCAACTCTTGTACTGACAGGAAGTGTGCAGGAGACTCGCCATGTGATCACGTAAGGGGGACATGTGTTTCCGGGTGTGAGCCAGGGTGGATGGGTGAAGACTGCAGAGAAGGTGATAATCGTTGTTTACAGTTTGATTTAAACATAGGAATATGTATCGAAAGTCTATTTCTCGACGTGTTGAGTCTCCTTTATGAGTGAGTAAACATTGACAGTCGCATCAGCAATATTCCAGCGATATAACAACTATCAAAAACGATACGAATATTCTCTGAACATATCTTTGACATATGCAACGCATTGAGATGAACTATTACTTAAATCCATTTATATTGTCTATTCCGAGTGCAATTCATGTGACGGTTTAATGTTTACACAATAATGTTCCAGTCTGTGACATTGGACGTTACGGAGCTAACTGTGACAAGACCTATTCCTCCAGACACTGTGTGGGGAACTCTTCATGTTACTCAACAGGGGACTCTGACTGCGGGTGTGAGACGGGGTGGACAGGAGCGGACTGTACAGGTAACTATGTAATGTCAACAGGAAGCTAAGGCTGTGAGTGAAGAGTTGGCAGTGGCTGGACGGTAATATAGAAAGGTATTTTGTGTTAAAAAGGTTTTGAATATCTGTAAAATAAAGAAATGCAGCATCAAAGGTACGGATAGAAGCGTGAAGAGCAGTGGAAAGTGAAAGGTAATGTAATCGATGCGCTACATCGTTTTCAATTGGAAAGATAGAAAACTTCTCCTCAATACTTTGTAATGAATCATGTGTGATGAACATGGTTTGTTATGACAGCCGTACGAGTTTGAAACAGTAGCATTCTTTTGTTGTACACTGTCACATTTATCTCTTTTTCTTAGAAATCTGATCGTCTATCTAAATAGTCTCAAATATCAATGTGCCTGGGAAATAATTCACACACCCTGTTCTGTTTCATTAGAGTATATCGGATCATCTTTTCAAAATCTATTTTATAGATATGGTTCAGTTTTCTGTATACCGTTAGCTCAATACAAATTTGAATTTCCATTTGGACAAAGACGATAAATCTTTCTGAAACTGCAACAAGTATTTGTCAAATCGCGATTCATCCAGTCATATCAAAAACGCATTGTAGGCACGTGTTAAACATTAAAATTTGTGTTCCTGTTTTTGATCGATTCCCACGTCAAATCAAACGACAAGGTATCTCAGTGGGCTAGCACTCTAAATATAGCCGGACTAGTACAATAAGACACACACGTATGCGCGCAAGCACGCACATACATGCACGTGACAATAAGTACAATAAAATGCAACGTGACGTTTAACCTAAATCCACCTCACTTCACCTCATCTGTGATATATGATTGTTGTAATTTCTTAAATCTCTTATTTTTCGAGGATGGCCTCATTTAATTATTCAAAGCAAATGATAGGAAATTTAACGAAATATAACGAGATTTGTCTCACATGTGTACTAACATATATTTGCACATGTCGAAAGAAGACTGTAAAATGAAATGTCAACATGTCAACTTTTTTTGACACAGGACCAAGTTGTACTTGATGACAATGCATTTATCTAAGTTTTGCAAAATATTAAGTTTAAATTACAAAAATATCAGTAATCATTGAGTGATCTTGTCTTTTGTGTATT